CGCAGTCAATATTTTAAGACACGTTGACTATCTCGACACGGTCAAAGGGCAGAAATGTAAAATGGAAAAGTTAAAAAAAAAATAAAAAAATTGTGTATTCATCGAAACCCTACCGAAGATTTTGGGGTTTAGAGAGAAATGAAATGGAATGAGCAATATTATAATGTAAGAGTTAAACGAACATGGTGGATGAATCACTTGAATCTGTGTGACTTCCAAGTGGACTAATGTAACGAAAAAGATGAAGCCATTGTAGGAGATGAAGTCAGTGTAGAAGATGAAGCTGGAGATAGGATTAGGAGCGAACATACTTGATTGGAGCGAAGATGAAGTTGGGGGAAATAAAAAATATCTGACCCTTTGTTATTAGAAAAGTAAAATTCAAAATGGGGGTCTTTGAAGAAAATTAACGCAAAGAATATTATAGCATTCCAAACAAGCTATCCCAATTCCCAACAGCTAAGACATGTAGGCAACCAACCAATCAGATTCAAGGTAATAGATTTCCAACCAATCCCAATCTTCCAACACCAATTAATCCTATCCTATCTACTTCACTAAATAGCCTTTAAAACACTCCATATGTCTTTTCAAATACATTTTTATTTATAAAAAAAAAAATTAAAAATTTACTATAATTATTATCAGTATTGATTTCGAAAGGATAGAATTTAAAATTTTAATTAATAGTAAGACACCTAGTTGACGAATCATTCAACTAAATAATATTCAATCAAGTGAAATCGGAGTTAGAAAATAAAGATAATTAATTAGGAACCATTAATTTTATGTGGTTTAATATTTCCTTGTTGCCTCTCTTTTTAACGCAAATATATTATTTGATTGATTATATGATTTATGATGAATTATTATATGTATTAAATATAAATTATACTATATATATTAAAAATATTATTTAATATTAAAATGTGTCCTAACGTGTCAAAATTTAATATTTTTTAGAATTTACGTATCGGCGTGTCGTGTCCCGTGTCCGTGCAACGTAGATGGGCTTTTTGACCCTTATAACCCTTTATTAATAATTAATTACCAAATTGACCTTCATTTAAAACTATTTCGAAAATTTAACCTCCCTAACAAACATAACACCAATCTGCTCCTGTTTGACCGTTGACCACGAAGCCTACCCGGGTACACCCCTCCCTACCCGGGTGTTTTTTGAATTGTTAGGCATACCCGGGTAGGGAGGGGTGTACTCGGGTATAGTTCTTGAGTTTTGGGAAATTGCTTGAATTATTTACCCGGGTAAGGAGGGGTGTACCCGGGTAAATCGCGTCCAGAAACCCCAATATCAATGGGTTTCGGCCATTGTTGCGAGGTATATGGTTTTTGCCCCCCAAATCTCTCTCCCTTGACCTCTCTATTCCGAAACATCACATATGTATTTCATCTCATCATTTCAAAAAGCTTAATCTTGGTGGGACATTGGGATTACATCTCCACACTCTCATTTTGTGCTCAAAAATCCGAACCAACCTCCAAACCCAAAACCTAGATCTAATTTTTGTGTGAAAGATGAGTTCAAGTCCAAACATGGTTCCTGTAGTTATTTACTACAATGGGAGGCATTTTGAAGGTCCGAACGGTGTCCGATTTGAAGGAAAAACAAAAACTATGAAAATCAAGCTGGACACTACATGCAATGAACTGAAGGAGAGAATTCTACAAAAAATGGGGTTAGAAGGCATACAATCCATCCACTGCACGATAGCCAGGTTAGAGACTGTAGTGGATATGGGTACAATATACTACATTGGTAACGCTATAAATGATGATGAAGATGTGGAGTTCGTAACAGATGCATTTGTTGAATGGAAAGTATTAAAATATATTGAGATATATGTTGAAGTTGATGCTGGTCAATCTTCATCTTTACCGGTGCATACAACCACTACTGCACACTGTACTGGTCAAGAAGATACAGTTGTACGATCTTTTGCACCTCCTTAGGTAGCATTGGATGAGGATGAAGAGGATGAAGATGAGGACTATGTGGACATTGAAGATGAGGGAGAACCTGAAAGTGCTATTCCAGAAGGTGATTCGTCAGACACTGACATGGAGGGAAATTTTGACGCTGACATGAGTGCCGTAAGTCTGGGTACCCCAGCCTTGTCACCACTTCATGTCGACCCAGTCGGTAGTGGTAAATTATTAAATTTGGACATTTTCTTTAGACAATTTATTATTTGTGGTGGTATTCATTCAGACAAATGAGAGTTGATCTTTAGATGCAGGAACTGTGGTGGAGCCTTTCTGGAATGAAAGCCAACATTATTCATTCATTAATTGGGCGCACCCTAATGACGAGTTGGAGATCCTATATGGCGATGATGACTTGCACGGAGGTTGGAAGTTAGGAGATCCGTTATTTGTGCAACAAGAATTTGGGTCCAAACCAGAAATGCAACATGCTGTGAAGATACATTGTATGAAGGGGCGTAGGACAACCATAGTCGAAAAAAGCGACGAGTCAAGATTTGTTACGAAGTGTAAAAACCCTACCGTCACGATTTACCCGGGTACACCCCTCCTTACCCGGGTAAATAATTCAAGCAATTTCCCAGAACTCGAGAACTATACCCGGGTACACCCCTCCCTACCCGGGTATGCATAAATATTCAAAAAATACCTGAGTAGAGAGGGGTGTACCCGGGTAGGCTTCGTGGTCAACGGTCAAACAAGGGTAGATTGATGTTATGCTTGTTGGGAAGGTTAAATTTTCGAAATAGTTGTAAATGAAGGTCAATTTGGTAATTAATAATTAATAAAAAGTTATAAGGGTCAAAAAGCCAACGTAGATGTGTAGTTCAAGATTCGGCTCGCAACTCAAACACAAAACATATAATATATAAATGATCAAAAAAAGCACAATTAAAAAAAAAAGAAAAAATATTTATCCTTTTAAAGAATAATTATTTTAAAATATTTTTATTTAAAATTTAAATTAAAAAAAAAAACTCACATTTTCTACCCTGTTATATGGATAAATCTCCGCAAAGATAGATTGGTACTCGTGTCATGTGGTCGATATATGTTTTGCGGGCTTTTTATGTTCAAGGATTTTACGGTGTGTCTTATGGGCTTGGAATCTGTTGATTGGGTTTCTGTCACCTTTGGTTGATCCAGAGCTGGAGCCTTCTGATGGATCTTTGCTGCCAACTGCCACTGCATGCTACCATTTAATAAGAGGAATATTAATCTCATGTTATATGAGAGTAATTTTCTCATGCTATAAAGAGAATACAAGTGAGACCCATCATTAGAAAGTAAAAAATAAAAAAAGGGAATACGATTTTTGAAGTGAGAAAAAATAAGATAACTATCTCATGTAAAATGAAAGTAGTATTTTCCATTTAATAATCCGTTAATAACCATTGCTATTTGGCCGCAAGCTGTTTGTCATTGCTCATGGCAGTAGATAAAAGTGTATCTTTCCTATTTTTTTTTGTAAACTATCCTAATTACATTTCATTTTCCATTGAACAAATTGTCACTTAATTATGTATCCTTTTGTGTCATTATTTGTTATTCTAATTTGGTCTTGAAACAAATAACTATTTGGCTTTAATTGTCTGGGCATTTCCTTGTCAAATTTCATACTTCCTCAAAAACATAGTTTAAAGAATCCAAACGACATATAAGGCGGCTCTGTTCTTACATAACATAATATGTGGATGGGAAATATTTTTCTCATTTCGTTGGAGATAACTATTTCATTTTATACACTCATCAAATTTTGTGTCAGCTTTTTTCATTTCTTTTTCCTTTTGTTTTAAAGTGTGGATCCCACATATTCATCTCATACACATAAGAGAACTATCTCAAGCAACATGAGATTAATAACTCCCTACGTGGATATCCCATAACCCATAATGAAAACTGCTTTTTGTCTGAATGTAGATTAGATGTTGTTAAATGACTGGAATGGCTTCATAAATAAGAATTGCTTTGTTCAGTGACTTTGGTGGTGTGAGTTGATTTATTTAATTCAGCTTTCCTAAAAGAGGTTGGTATTATTGATGTGCATTCCTTTATAGTGGTATTTTTTTATTTCAGATATAATTGTGTTCTTTTTATTGGTACATAGGATTCTCAACATAAATCATGAAATATTTGTTTCCTCGAGTTAAGTGAGAAATTAAATATATAGGTTTCAGATCACATTTTGACTCAAAGTTCATGCATTTTTTTCCATTTATTTAATCTTAATTTATTCATTTTGTTTTCTTTCCTCAAATTAATTAGGGACATATAAATCAAAAAACTCCTACTGGACAAGAGATTTACAACAATAATGTTGTATTACTTAAATCATTTTCCAGATGAAATATGAAAAACACTTTGTTAGATATATTGTTTTTAAAAAGTGAAAATCCAATGCCAATTGAGTTGGATGACTTTAAGAAGGACTGCATGTATAAATCTTTAGACAAAATAAATTATAAATTATATTCAATAGTTACATAAATATTTATGTTATGTCATAATTGATTAATGTATTTCATCCAATTTGTATAGGCAAGGTGTCTATAAATATTTAGCTAATTTCAGATAGTTGCAAAGCGCATTAAACTCTAGTGACCCGTAAAGTTTAAAATAATTTCTTATTAGCTAATCCTGTCAAAATATAGGGTATTGTTTTTATCAATTAATATTATTATCAATATTACTGACACTTTGTTTCGTCGTTAAATTAATTAGGTTAATTTAACGATTCTGATTTAACTTTTTTTATCTCTATATTTAATATTTATTTTTAATTTTATATTGTTATAATTTTTCATATTAAATTAATATAACTAATCTAAGATTAAATCAAACTGATAATAACATTAATAACAACGCTATATCAAAATTGGTTCGATACATTCAATTGATTTAAACCTCGGTTTGATTTAAAAAGTTAGATAAATTTTTATTCGATACATTCAATTGTGCATTTATACCCTTTAAAAACCCTAAATAAAACCCTAATTCGAGAGCTGCTGTACGCCTCTTCTCCATCTCATCGACACAAGCATTATCTTTGTAACTACATTGGTTGTGTCTGCCATCGAAGAATTCAATGGGTAAAGCGAAGGCGAAGGGAAAGCATCGTTTGGACAAGTACTACCACTTAGCCAAAGAACATGGTTATAGGTCTAGGGCTTCATGGAAGCTAGTCCAGCTCAATTCCAAGTTCAGGTTCCTCGAATCCGCACGCTCCGTCCTCGATCTCTGCGCCGCCCCCGGCGGCTGGATGCAGGTCGCCGTCCAACGCGTCCCCGTCGACCACCTCGTCATCGGCGTCGATCTCGCTCCCATCGCTCCCATCCGTGGTGCCATCGCCATCCAGGAAGATATCACCAGGCCAGAGTGCAAGTCTCGAATCAAGAAGCTCATGAACGAGCACGGTTGTCGCGCGTTTGACGTTATATTGCACGATGGTTCGCCCAACGTCGGCGGCGCGTGGGCTCAGGAAGCAATGAGCCAGAACGCTCTCGTCATCGATGCGGTTAAGTTAGCCACACAGTTCTTAGCCCCCAAGGGCATATTTGTCACTAAGGTATTTTTCAATCAACTTAATTGTTATTTATGACTGATTCTCATTCTTATTTTGATTATTGTTAACTCTTTTGTTATATGATAGATTTTTAGGTCGCAGGATTACAGTTCTGTGGTGTATTGCTTAAAGCAGGTGATAGTTTTTTTTTTTTTTTTTTTAAGAAAAAATAATAATTCTATTTTGTGTTTTTATGTGGTTTGATGGATGGAAGTTAAGTGTGAATTGGTTGAGAATTGTTTTGTTTTTTGTGGTGGAATTTTTGCATTGCAGTTGTTTGAAAAGGTTGAGGTGGATAAACCCGCAGCTAGTCGTTCTGAATCTGCTGAGATATATGTTTTGGGGCTTAGGTATAAGGCCCCTGCCAAGATTGATCCGCGCCTTCTCGATGTCAGGCATCTCTTTCAGGGATCCGTGGAACCGCAGGCAAAGGTGCTTTTACTTGATTACTTCTGTCCCTTCACTGACCCTTCTTGTTTTTGGCTCTTTCATTTGATTTTATTTTTCGGTTGGTGAATCATTTATGCAGGTGGTGGATGTGCTTAGAGATAATAAGCAAAAGAGGCATCGTGATGGGTAACTTCTGCTTTCTTTCGTGATTTCGATTGTCTGTATATTGCATTGCATATTGTGGCATAGGCCATCAAAATGGGCCAGCCCGGCCCCTTAAGCCCTAGCCTGCTCGGGCTAGGTCCAAAAGGCCCGCATATTAAATAGCCTGCACGGGTCAAAAAATTATATAACCCCACAGGTTAGGGCCAGCCTGCTAGCCAAAAATTATGTCATATGCTCATAATAAAGTTAAAAGTTAGTCCACAGCTATATTCAGTTTTGTTTATTGAATTTCACTCTCCACACAACCATGTTAACATATAATATTCAGCTGGAAATTCCCAAAAAAACACCTAAAGCAAGTCACTGTAGGTGTGATGTAATTGGGGCCAGGGTAAAAAATAACCCTATCACATGAGGGCTGGAAAAAAAAGGGGGGGGGGCTGAAAATTGGGGTTGAAGGGCTGGCCTGCAGCCTCTAGCCTGTTTTGACAGCTATATTGTGGCATATTTCCTCAATTGGTTAGATTGTTAAAGTATCCTTTGAAGCAGAGAACATTAAGACTATGAAAAGTTGGTAGTTCAACTATTTGAGCTGATTTATAGTTATAGTTTTACTTCTCGTTGTCATATTTAACAGGATAATCCACCCCCCCTCCTCGAAAACACCGCGTTAGGTTGTATGCCTCAAATATATGGTATTTTTTATTGCTAACTACACTACTTCATGTCTACAGCTATGAAGATGGAATCTCAACTTTAAGGAAGGTGTCTTCAGCTGCAAATTTCATTTGGTCTGATGCTCCTCTGGAGATCCTTGGTTCAGTCACTTCCATAACCTTTACTGATCCAGCTGATTTACCAATCAAGGATCATGATTTAACCACTGAAGAGGTATTCTTGTGTGTATTATCTGATCATGCATTGTTTAGTGATCAGTGGAGGTTTGAACAACAATCAATGTTGTTAATTTTAAATGCTTTGAATGTGGCTGTATGGCAGGTAAAATCTCTCTGTGATGATTTGAGGGTGTTGGGGAAGCAAGACTTCAAGCATCTTCTAAAGTAACTGCTTCGCTTGAATTTCAATCCTTGTGATTATTTGCGCATTAAAAAATATAAAAAAATCTCGATGATGAATATGTTTCTTTTCTTTTGTGTGTGGGGATTGATGTTGTATTTGTTGGTTACCTGTAGGTGGCGGGTTCACATTAGAAAAGCTCTTTCCCCTACTCAGAAGCCTGATCCTCCTACTACAACAGAGATTGAAAATGAGCATAAGGTGGATGAAGATGATAAAATACTTAACGAAATGGAGGAACTGACATATGCAATGGATCGCAAGAAGAAACGTGCGAAGAAGCTTCTTGCAAAAAGGAGAGAGAAGGTTTCTAGCTTCTTAGCTTCCACTGAATAAGTCGGGATGGGATATGTATTTGAATAAGTTTTTTAATCTGTGCAATGTTATTGCTATTATATTTTTGCAGATTATAATAATATAATTTTCTTTCAAAATTATACATGATATTTGGTCCAACGAATGGTTTCAGGCCATGCCCAGGAGGACCATAAACATATTGTGTTAATCCTCCATGTATCATGAGATTCTAAGCTCAATTCTATTTTTCATTCTTTTATTGAGTGGAAGATATCAAGCTGATTCATTGCATCAATCATTTGAAACTTATAGGACAAGGCACGAAAAGCAACAGGGATGCAAATGGATGTGATGGAAGATGGTTATGTTGATCAGGAGTTATTCGCTCTTTCCTCTATAAAGGTTTGCCGTAATCTTTTTAGCTTCTTTTGGTTTAGAAAATGATATAAACTTTTGATTTGCATTAACCTGTTTTTTCATTCCAAACACTTCTACTCCTCTTTAAAGGAATGCCAAAAGTACAGGTTGTTTGTTTGATATATAATGTTAGATTACTCATGGCAAGTAACGCTTACTTAGTGGTAGGGGTGTAAATGGGTTAGGTTAGACAAAGCTTTGACCTTAATAGCCTAAGCTGATGTAAAATGTTTAGAGCCTACACTGACGTGTTAGCGTATTAAAGGCTTGGTTTATAGGTGTGACCTGACTTATTATAAAAACAAAAAGCCTAACATGGCCTATAAAACCATATAAGCTTGCAAAGTTGCAAGCCAAATTAAAATAAAAAAGACGAAATTCCTCATTCATTAAACAATGTTTCCAGCAAGAGTCCAAATTATAACAATTCTCAAAAAAAGAAAAAATTTAACAACATCACAAAGATCCTTAAATAATGTTCATAACAACACCCAAAATAATTATTTTTAGGAGCTTTTTCTTTGCTCTTTGGAGCCTTCATAAATATATTATGTTACTAATAAATTGAAAGGTCAGCCTGTAGGCCTAATTTTTAAATAGGTTTTTCTAAAATCCTAAATTTGCTATATTTTCTAAATAGACTAGGCCAAACCGCCAAACTAGACACAAGGTAGGTCAGGCTATAGGCTCCTGATAGGCCGTACGACCCATTTACATCCCTACTTAGCTGTTAGCTTAATAATCCATAAACTCTAAATGGAACCTACAGACTTTTCAGGGTAAGTTACATATCTCTCTTTATATTAGCAAATGTCCTCTGTAGCCTTCCTCCCTAAGACAACCAGAAAAAAGTTCTCTCTTACCTTTTGGATTGGGTATTTTGTTAATTTAATGGTATATATTTAAGTTGTGTAATTATGGTCTTATGATTTAAATTTTAATAGCGAATTATTTTTAGATGGAAGAAACTTTTTTAACTAAGCATTAATTTTGTTTCTTGGCTGTTATCATGGGGTTTCAGGGTAAGAAGGATCTGGTAGCTGTTGACACCACTGAATATGAAGGTGATGAAGGTGACATGGAAGACAGTGAGGATGAAGGAATCCATGAAGGCCCAGAGCATTCATCCAGCGACTTAGAAGATTCTGATGAAGAACGTAAAAGGTTATTGATAGGTTCTTTTGATATAATTTCTCATGTTCTGTAAGTAATCACTTAAATTCTTGTTTCTAACTTCCGATTATCCTGAAATAAGATATGATGAACAAATGGAAGACTTACTTGATCAAGCTTATGATCGGTTTGTGGTAAAAAAGGAAGGAAGTGCAAAGCAGCGAAAGCGTACCAAGAAATCCTTTGATGCAGAGGCCCAACTTTTGGAGGTATGGAGCTTCCTTGTTGTGATTGTTGGTCTACTTAGACCTTCACCCATTTGGAAATATATAAAAGGAAGAAAATCAGAGATTATAGGGTCTGTTTGATTGTGTTATGTTTTTTTTGTTCTCAAAATTGTTCTGTATAATAGTTATTGAAATAGGTGTTTTATTTGTTTTTTTTTTCTTTTGAAAGTTAAAAGTCAAAATACAAAACAAAAACAACCCAGACAAATTTTCTAAATTTGATTCTAAAAACTAAAAAAAGTTATAATTTTTATAACTATTTTTTCAAAACAGGCATTACCAAATAGGTTTTTTTGTTCTGTAAATTAAATAACTTTTTTTAAGAACAGAAATCAAACAAGCCCTATAATGTGATTCTTGAAAATCCTCCCTTGCTCAACTTTCTGAAATAGGGGGAGTATTTTTTTTTTAAGAACAGAAATCAAACAAGCCCTATAAAGGGGGAGTATCTTTATTTATTTTTTCTGTTCCCTCCTGACACCCCGCATACCTCAGTGTCCAATACTTTTGTATGAAGCTTACTGGTAATATAAACATATGTTCTCATGCTGATATGGTTAGTGTTTCCTTCTTGCCCTCAAATCTCCAGTGAGATCTCTTTACAATTGGTATTTTTGTGTTGTCAAATGTGTTTAGTTATTGTTTAGAACCGTGGAAGCATTTATTTATTTATATTTTTGGGTGCAAAAAGAATTTTTTTACATTTAGATTATGTCCTCTTGGCTGTGCAGGCTGATGAGGAAGGTGATATTGTTCAGTCCAAATACGATTCAGATGAAGATCAGCGTGATCAAGAAGCAAATCCTTTGATGGTGCCACTTAATGATGGGACAGAACCCACCCCAGAGGAGATCACAAATAAGTGGTTTAGTCAGGATGTCTTTGCTGAAGCTGTAGAGGAAGGAGACTTTGAGAAGTCTCAGAGTGAAGATGAGATGGATATAGAAGGGCCTAAGGAGAACATGTCCATTGCAAAAAAGGTCAGAGAAAATAAAACAATGGCTTCAGTGATAGATGGGCCTAAATCTCAAGCATCTAAAGCAGAGGGGGATTTTGAGATAGTTCCTGCACCTGCTACTGATTCAAGCGATGATTCATCCTCTGATGAATCGGAGGAGGAAGATGTTGAAACCAAAGCTGAGATACTGGCTTATGCTAAGAAGATGATGAGGAAAAAGCAAAGGGAGCATATACTGGATGATGCATATAATAAGTACATGTTTGATGATGAGGGATTGCCCAAGTGGTTTCTAGATGAGGAAAAGAGACACCGCCAACCAATAAAGCCTGTCACTAAAGAGGAAATTGATGCAATGAAAGCGCAATTTAAAGAAATTGATGCTCGGCCTGCAAAGAAAGTAGCAGAGGCCAAAGCACGAAAGAAGCGTGTTGCGATGAGGAAGCTTGAGAAGGTACGTAGGAAGGCCAATGCTATATCAGATCAGACAGAAATATCTGATCGTTCGAAGAGCAAGCAAATTGAACAACTATATAGAAAGGCTGTTCCCAAGAGGCCTAAAAAGGAATATGTAGTTGCAAAGAAAGGTGTCCAAGTTAAGACTGGCAAGGGTAAAGTCCTTGTTGATCGCAGAATGAAGAAGGATGCTAGGAAACATGGAATGGGTGGTAAGGCAGGAAAAGGAGGTTCCAAGATGAAGGGTAAGTCTCCGAAGGTGAAAGGATCTTCAAAGGCCTCTGCTAAGAAGGGAAGAAAGGGGAATAAATGAAGAATAGGGTGATGCTCAATTTCTCAGTCACGGGTTTTGTCTTATTTTCATGCCTCAATTTTGTTTGTTCATTTTGTTCTTCATAGAGGGAATCTTAATTTAATTAAAAGTTGTCTTAAATAGCAGCTAATGAAGGTATTAAATTAGATATTGATTATGGCACACCAATATTTGTAAAAATTGGAGTGTTAAGTATCTTCAAGTTCATCGGTTTCTAGCGTTTTAATTGTCTAATATAGCACTGTGCCGGTTTTCATAGTAAGATACTATTGAGTTGTTTGTCTAGTTATAGTTTTGATTGGCACAACTAATGTTTTACAAATCGTTTAAAAATTAGGTCAGACTAGCTGGTTTAAATAAAAGTTGGTGAACTTTAAGGTCACTGGTGTGTAGGATATCGGATGATTAGTGAATTGGTGAACTGGTTGAACGATTCAAAAATCAGGTAAAATTACTATAAATGAGAAAAGTAACTGTTTTAACTATTTCATGTAATTTGTTTTTGGGTAAAGGATTTCTTCAATCACTGGAGATAAAGTTATCTTTAGTAAGCTCAAAACAAGGTAAGTGTTTTTGTAATTATAATATATTGCAAGGTTATATTAGTCTTTGTCATTATAATTTTTTAATCTTATATCTCAAAACGACGTCATTTTGAGCGCATTGGAGATAACTTTATCTCCGGTGACTGGAGAAATATTTTTTCCTTTATTTTTCTCTTCTCATCAATCCTAAGATAAGGACGTAAGGTTGAAAAAAAAAAGTAGAGTAATGTTTAGAGAATCGGTCAATTCATAAAAAAACGCAATATAGTATGATGAATGATAACGAGCAGTGGAGCAGAAGATAAGTTACCTACAAAGAGTGTTGTGAAACTGGCTCGAACGGTCGACCCGTTTGGGTTAATCTGGAATCCGACGATTTGATATATGATTAGTTATGTATCAGATTTGGTCAAAATTTCGTCAAATCTGGACAAAACCGGTAACCCAGTCGAGTTATGCATTTTTATTAAAAAAAAATCAAAATTGTTTCAACTTGCTAGAAAAAAATGTAGAACTCATTTTTGTAATTTTATTTGATAGTAATATATTGTTCTACAATAATTTCAAATTTCAGCTTCCAATACTGAAACAATAAATTAAGAGAATGTGACATATGTCATTTTAATATATTTGAAAAATATGAGTTCAATGTCATTGAGAGGTATGCTTATGAGGATTTTAAGTTGCAATTTAAATTGATATAGTAATAGCAAGCATTTTCATTTATTTATGCTTCGTGAACTTGTAAAAATGTGATTGGGTAATTTTTGAGTTTATTTAGTGAACCTTGTTTAACTCATTTTAGATATGGAGAATATGATTAACTTTATATGTTCATATTTATATATATTTGGATTAACCGGTCCGACCCGTGACCCACCGGTCTGACCAGTGACCCAATACCTTGACTGGGTCAATGCCCGCGTCGGGTATAATAACACTACCCATAAGTCATTATTTTAACACAAAAATTGTAGGATATGCAACATGCTACTATACCAACATGACATTTGTAAGAACCCCCACCGTTAATTATGTGAAATTAGGAAATAATTCTATAATTGAACCTAATAATTATTATGAGGCTTAAATAAATATGGTAAGTGATTTATAATGCTGAAAGTTGCTTTTTTGACGAAAAGTGCAGATACCGATTCTGCTACTCGGTATAAATGCGTACCGATAAAGTATCCCGGAAATTATAATAAGTGCATGAATATTCCTAGGATAATATGTAGGACTGTGATTTCAAGTTTCAAGTTAAAATAATGAGAACTGGTGCCAGAACTGATACTGGCTATGGAAAAGCGCGTACCGAAAAGGTGCTGCGAAAAATAAAATAAAAATATGACAAATATTGTAAAATTGAGTAGGTTCAGAATCCTAAGATTGAGATTAAAATGCTAAGCGTTGCATCTAATGGTAATACTGTGTGTTTAATTCTTAAACCACTATATATACTACCTTTGGCACTAAACCCTGGGCCATAACACTTATCCTACGCGAGTTTTTGGTGGCTGGTCAGTTTGAGCACTGTTCCATTGTCTCTTCTCCATTTCTTGAGCCTTGAGGTCATTTCTTCCTTGGAATCTCCACCTAAACACTTGTGGTGAGTGAGAGTGAGCATTGAGAGGGTGTTGATGGCCATGTTTCTGAGTTAGAGGGTCAGTTTGTGTAAGAGTGAGGTGCTGACTTTGAGTTTGGAGAGGGTGTGGACCTTATGCTTGGTATTTGTAGTGCCAATGAGTCATCTTTTGTGCAAGAACCAACCTTTGGTGTGCCATTTTCGTGTGCCTTGAAAGTCAGAACTGTAGAGGCAGTGTGGTGAGCTCCAAGAGTCATTGTTGCTCTGTTTTAAGCTTGGGTAAGTGTCACCAACCTTAATCTTGAGTTTTCTTGGTGTAAAGGTGAATTCTTGGCATGTTAATGAGTTAAACAAGTATGTAATTTGTATATGAACCTTGAATAGAGTAAAAATGCATGCTTTAACGATTTAGTGGGTTAAAAGATGAACCTTTGGAGTGATATCTCGCGAAATGCAGAAACTGCATTTTGTCGCGAAATATCCGGATATGGTATCCGGATATGATATCCGGATATTGATATCCGGATACGGGGATCTGGATATCCGGATATTGATATCCGGATATTGGCAGAGAGATATCCGGATATGCCCCCGACATATATCCGGATATTCTGGGTTTTCGAAGAACAGTAACTGCACTGTTCATACAGAAAGCTATTGGGGGTTTGTGGACCCTAGTTTGAGGAAGTTGAACTTTTGTAATAATTAACTAAGTCAGAATCTAAGTGATTAAGGGCTTGTGGCTTTGTGAGAAGCCTAAAGACATGAAACGTAAAAGAGAAACGTTGTCTTTATGTTTATGCTTATGAGCTATGTTTTTTAATATGATTGCTGGTCCGAATCATATTGTGATTCTGCTGTGTTTGGACTTTGAGCATTAGTTGGAATCTTGGCTTGGATTGTTAGCTTGCAAGGTAAGCTTTCGTGTCCTCGGTTTAGCCATTGTGTAGTTCCACCATACCCCACAGGGGAATGGTTATATGCATGCCGTGTTACATGCTTTGATATTGAAATACTTTTGAGCTGATATGTGCAATGGCTTATGATATGTATATGGTGTTCACCCGATGGGATGGAATCCTACGGGTAGGTACGACAGAGCGCGTACTATGTGGGTAATAGACGTATTTCTACGCTTCTCTGGCCAGTAGATTATAGTATTGACACTCATGTCATGATTATCTGCTGCACTGCACTATTCTGGAACTTATATTGTTAAACTGCTTTTGGAACATATATTGCACATGTAAGTGAGCTTGGGGTGGAAGATCCTTGAGGACCCCTTGTCTTACTGAGATTTCTTGTTTAGAGATCTCACCCCACGTTATTATTTCAGGTTCAGGTAACTTGGGAGTTGATGTCTCTGGCGGCAGGAGGCCGGAGCTTAGTTGATGTTTATTGTTTATTGTTGTTGTTGATTTCTGTTATGTTTAAGTCTAACTGAGTTGTATAAACTATCAGGGTTGTCCGGTCTATGTGTTGTAGTTCCGTGACTAAGGACTTATATCTGTTATTTAATTAATTAGGTATTTCAGTTAGCTGTCTTTTGCAATTTACATACAGGCAATATTTTGAAAATGATTAAGTAATCAAGTTGGTAATGAATAATGACGTCATAATTGAAAAGAAAAAGATATTTTGCATTTTTAATTAAGCGCAGCTTAATATGACGATATGATAACATTACCGGATATATACGGGATGTTACATTTTATGGTATCAGAGCAATGGTTCGAGGGAAAATCCTGTATGTATTGCAATGATTAGGATGCTTGGTTGTGTCTGTCTTGTGTGTTTGCTCCGTTGGATTTTTAGTATGATGATGCATATGTGATCACATTGCGTGGGCCTGATCAACTCATAATTTGTGTAACTTGTGCAGAGTCATGGTAGGATCCAGGAGAACTCGCAGGACTGTTGAGGGTCAACCTGACCTAATCCTGACTGCATTGGCTGAGATGCAGGAGGCCACTAGATTGGCCAACGTGGCAATGATGGATGCCGCTAGAGAAACGAACTAGAAGGCCACAGAGGATGCTCTTGAGGCAAATCTGCTGGCGAACATGACCATGATGAGGGTTATGTTGGAGGAGATGAGGGTTGGTCCTGCTGTTGCCAGTATCCTCCGCCACCACCTCCACCGCCACCACCGCCGCCGCCTCCACCTAGTGTTCAGGACGAGAGCCTGAGTCACATTGGTAGTGCTACTCATGTCACTGGGATTATGGAACCCTTTATGGAGCCTGCTGAGGACCGTGACGTGATCGACCGTAGGCTGAACGCTTTCAGAAAGCATAAGCCACCTTCTTTTGATGGGTCCTTGGATCCTATTGCTGCGGCGAGATGGCTGCAGTCGCTGGACAAGATATTCCGGGTCATGCAGTGCACAGACCCGCAGAAGCTGATGTTTGCAACCTACATGCTGGAGGGAAATGCCCATGAGTGGTGGACGAACACCTCTCGTGCTTATGAGATGCAGGTTCATGTGATGACGTGGCCATTCTTCGAGGATTGCTTTCTGGGTCAGTATTTCCCCTATGACGCGCAGGAGAGGAAGCATGGGGAGTTCGACAGGTTGGTTCAGGGCTCGTTGTCTGTTGACGAGTACCTGACCAAGTTCAATGAACTTGTGAAGTTTGCACACTTTCGGATGGCAGTGCCTACTCTGATGTTTTTGGCTACTAAGTTCCGCAGGGGACTTAGTGAGGTGATTGCAGAGCATATTGCTGGAGCTGCTTCGAGGGATTTTGGTACACTGGTTCATCAGTGTAAGGACATTGAGGATGTATGCATTACAAGCAAGGCTAAGAAGGCCAAGATTGAGGAGACGAAGGGGACTGGTAGTTCCACTCCCACTTTGTAAGAACCCGCACCATTAATTAAGGAATTTAATTAATAAATTATGAAAAAATAGGAAATGATTCCATAATTGAATCTAATAATTATTATGAGGCTTTAATAATTATAGTAAGTGATTAAAAATGCTGAAAGTCGCTTTTCGAAAAAAAAGTGCAGATACCGGTTCTGCTAGTCGGTATAATTGCGTACCGAAAAAGTATCCCGAAAAATTATAATAAGTGCATGATAATTACTGG